GACTATGTCTCTCGGCTGGCCTGGGAACGCCTTGGGGTTCCCCCGGAGGAGCTGGAAGAAGTGGCTGGGGAGAGGGAGGTCTGGGCCTTCCTTCTGAAGCTGCTGCCCCCGCGACCCGACCCCGGATAGGCGGAAGAAAATGGATGGATGGATGGACAATATCAATAAATAAATGAAGAAAAAATATGTGCAGGCCAAACACAACTGAAGCTGGTTATCATGTGAAGTTGGGAAAACATGGTATTTATATCTTTTATAAGAAGAAATAATATATAAACCTTCTAGTAAATAAAAAAACACCTTAAAATATTAAAGTAAGACCTCACCTATTAATTCAAACATAAAAAATAAACAGCATTCTAAGGAAAATGCCTGAGGCCTTTTCCTTCCCAAAAGCCTGTAGCTTTGTAAAATTTGGCTGCCTTTGTTAGACTAACTGTGAAGCCACCAACTGTCCTACTGCTATGAAACTTAGCTTTATGGAAACTGGAACAAATGGGGAAGTCACTGGTACCAATTTGAGATAAATTACTGCTCCCAACTAGGCAGAAAATGACAATAAAGGGAAAGAAAAAGATACTGAAAATCGTCGTTTCTACTTAGCTTAGCTTTAGCGTGTTTTTAGCATTATCTTACATATTGTATTAAACGTGGCCCACTCACTAATTTCCTTTACATAAAACCATACCACTAAAAAATACACACCTAAACACTTGAATCAAAAAACACAAAGTAATCTTACCTCTGTTAAAATGTCGCCTCTGGCTGGGGCAGCTGATGTGTTGTTTTCCAAGCCAAGTGAACGGACTGCAGCTCTAACTCTGAATGTTGCGTAATGGCGGAAAGGCGGACTTTTTAGGCAAAGTGGGTCTGAACCCCTCGAACCCCCCCTGGCTACGCGCATGAATGATCACTGTCAGATATTTAATTTACCTTCATAATCAGACTTAGATTTTAGATCAGCTTCATCATAAGGTTTCTTTACAGATTAAAGTTTCTTATTTATGTTTCTGCTGCTGAGCCAAGAGGACCTTTCAAATAAAAACTTAATTCTTTCATCTCCATCCATCTACTTCTTCCTCAGACGACCCCCACAGATGTTCACTTTTAGTATGGTTTCCACGCAACCCTTTATAAATGAGACCCCTGATCAGGTTGGTGGAGTGTTGGAGTGGACTCCGTGGCAGTGCTGGGATTTTTGGTGGGTTGTGTTAGGCCTGGAGTGGCAGGTTGGCTCAGGTGTGGGGGCCTGGCTAGCGTAGATGCATGGGCTATTCTGTGAACAGGTTGGCTGACGTTGCTGGTACTGGCTGGGTGGCTTAGCAGAATCCATGATTTTTGCCTCATTCGCCATTGCATTGAGAGGATGTTAGCCCAGCTGACTGGAAGAAGCCTCTGTGGTGTATGCTGAGGGGTCGTGGGGGTTGCATTTCTCTTCCGGATGTGGAACCGCTGAAGTCTTTGGTTGGTTGGGTGGTGAAGGTGGTCCTGAGCTTGGTGATGACTATCCCTGGGCTGACGCTGCAGTGGCAGCGATGTGGGTTTGTTTGTGTAGTTTCAGGGGCATGGTGGGGGCTGTTGGCCCAGGGGGTGGGGGGCGGGGTGTCCATCCTGGTGATAAGTTGGGGGGCGGTGTGGTTGCATGGCTTGGTGGTGTCTGGTCTGATTATCTTTTTTATGGGGCTTTGGTTGGGGCGGTGGGATATGGTGGGGAGTGTTTGGAACGGGATCTGTGTGTGGAGCGCATGCTGTGTGGGGCATTCTTATTGGCTCTGCGGGGGGCTCTCCTGTGGGAGGGCATGTTCCTGATTGTATTGAGTTGACTCTCACACCGAGTGCCATTTCTTCGCACACCTTTATTTAACCTGTTACCCCATATTTAAAACATCAAGCGCCCCCTTGGCTTATTCTTATCAGTACATCTTCCTTTTTTATTAATATATATACATATATTAAACACAATAAACTATACCCTGCCCACGACACTATTTCCTTAATCCCTACATTACCACTTCAACATTCCTCTATCAGTCTCTTTGGCTTCTTTATCTGTCTGGTTTGTGTGAAATTGTTCTCTAAAACACTGATGGGTTTGTCTTGTTCAGCATTTCCTTTCATTTCTTGTCCAATTATGTGCCCAACCTCCAGATCCTCATTTTTTATGTGTGGTACTTTCAGCAGATGTCAACGGTTACTTCTCAGAATATTTCCATGCTCAGTCTGTACCATTCCTGACACCAAAAGGTCTGTGAAGAAATGGCACTCAGTGTGAGAGTTAACTCAATATGTGGTACCAGGAGTTGTTAAAGAAAAAGAAGTAAAATGAATAACATTCATCCTCCAGAAGAGCTGAAGCTGACAGGCAATGTTTTTGAGAACTGGCAGGTATTTCAACAGAGTTTTGACCTGTATTTACTTGCTGCAGGACAAGAAAAAAATGGCAACTGTCGGAAGATAGCTTTATTGCTAACAGTAGCAGGCCATGCTGCATTGGATGTGTAGAACACGTTCAACTTTACGGATGAATAAGAGAACGACTTCGAAGCTGTGATAAATAAGTTTGAGGACTAATGCACACTGAGTGTCATTTCTTCACACACCTTTATTGAACCTGTTACCCCACATTTAAAACATCAAGCTCCCCCTTGTAGCTTATTCTTATCAGTACAACAATGTCTGTCTGCTGGTTGGGGTTGGCCCTTTGGGAAATTCATGCCAGGACTTATGGGGTGTGGAAGGTCCATGGAGTGGATGTTAGGGTTTGCTAGGGGGTTGGGACTATTTCTTGGGGCTGCTCAGGCTGGCTGGCTCATTTGCATCATATGGGCTTTTTTGGCAGTGTCTCTGGATGGGGTTGAGTGTCATTCAAGGTATGCCCGGCCCTGTCTAAATTGACGAGTGGCTTAGCTGCTGCTGAGGTTTGGCTGTCTGCTCCTCTTCACCACGAAATTAAGAGAACTGCGGACTGGGGGCATTACCTGGACCTGGGGGTATGGAGTGTATGTGGGGAGTGAGTGGACTATGGCGTCCATTTTGTGTTTACACTGAATGGGTGTGTGTGTGTATGAGGGTGAGAACGTGTGATTGTGTATGTGTGCCTGGTTATCTGTCAGGCTGGATCATTGGGCTGCCTCTGCTCCTGGATCACAACCCCCCCTCCCCCCACCGCTGGTGGTCGTGCCCCATTCCCCTGTCACAATCCCCTCTGGTGGCCACCGATGTGCATGTGGCTCCTGGTGTCTAGGACAGGGTGCTCAGGAATGTGCCGGCTCAGCCTGATGATTGCCTGGTGGGGCCTGGGTCCCCTGGCCTGGTCAGGCCTTGGCTGGGGTTTGACACTTCCTTGTGGCTCGGGTCTCTGTGTCCATGGATGAATCTGCTCTGGTTAGCGGGTGCCAGTGGAGCATGTGGGCTCATTGCTGCTGGCCCCAGGAGCTTCTGCATTGTGGCTGCTGTGGGGGAGGGGGGGCATTCCCACCCGTTCTCTTCTCTGCTCCAATCTGGGGGTGGGTGTGAGGTTGTTCCTCCGGTGGCACCCCTTGGGGCTCTGTGCTTGGGCTGCCTCAGGCCTTAGGGGTCGGATCTGTAGGTCTCCATGATCACTATTGAACATTCTTATGAGAAACCTTATATATGCACACAAGCATGCTCACAACTGCACACATACACAAAAACACAGGTGTTCAGATCCAGGTGTTTCTTATATAAACTCCACTTTGGGACTGCGTTTGCAATAGGGCTGTGAAATTAATTGTTAACTCTGATTAATTTTAGTGCTGCCTGGGCATAGATTAAAAATTTTAATCGCGATTAAAATTTACAATCACTTTACTCTGACTGAACATGTAGGTTTGTATATTACAAAGCACTCAGTGCATGCCAGGTCATGTTTGTAAATATGAAGTGGTTCTCAAACAGTTTACCTGGATAAATAAAGGTTAAATAAATAAAATAAAAACTCCATGTGTAACATATTATGTAGTTTTTTTTTTCTTTTTGTCTTATGGCTTATTTTATTTTATTTATTTATGTTTTGCTGGCAACTGTGACCTTAGTATCTATCTTTCATTCCTCATGTAGTACTCATTAGGAACGAAAATCCTTAAATTCTTGATTTAACCATTATGTACATTTTTTTTCTTTTTGTCTTCTTATGGCTTATTTTATTTTATTTATTTATGTTTTGCTGGCAACTGTGACCTTAGTATCTATCTATCATTCCTCATGTAGTACTCATTAGGAACGAAAATCCTTAAATTCTTGATTTAACCATTATTTCGCACAAAATTTAACTGACTCAAATATATTTGGAGCATTTTTAGGTCCTGTTTTATATTCAAAAAAATCGTGTCTAAGCATCAATTTTGTTTTCTAAATAAAAACATTAAAAACTAATTAAATTTAAGATTAATCATGATTAATTCACAGCTACTTTGGGATTAATCAGATTAAAAATATTAATCATTTGACAGCCCTACTTTAAATACCTTGTTATTACAGTGCATTATTGTTTCTTTAACAGTGCTGTTGCAKTAATTATGCTAACCTCATTCATTCTTTGTGCTCAGTAAAATATGAAGTCAAACATATGGTCACTTTTGATTAACATGAGGATCTAATTTTATTAAATAGCTTTCAAGAGCAGCTATAAAAATAACTGCACCAGATCAAACACACAGAATTTATACAGAACACAGTCCCACTCTGAATTCACCTTGAGGGAAAACAATGGGAATTGATTTGGAGGGGTTTAAACGCTCAGTGTGGCTTTTACTTCCGTTACCTGAATTCCATACTTGTCCAAAGTCCAGTGAGTTTTGAGCAGCCAGCATTTTCTCTGCTCCCACCACAGGGCATGATCTGACCAGTCCTGAGGAGCCTCTGCAGGAAAACAGATCCAAGTTAAATCGTTGATTAGCATCGTTCCACCCGTTTGCATTGAAATCACATACTACTGCTTAAACAATTCACACTTTTAATAATGGCGGTGAACGGCTGAAATGTTGACATTACAAATGTATTTTTAACACCAAAAACATGCACCTGGATTTATTTGTCAAAAATAATTTTCTTTAATTTTTAGTATACAAACTCTTCTTGTAAAGAGGATTTTAAGTTAGTAACAACAGCTTTGAAGCATTCTCCTGGATGGATGGATGGATGGATGGATGGATGGATGGATGGATGGATGGATGGATGCATTTTGTTACCCACCAAAGAACTTGTGTAATTCAAACTGAAAACTACAGCGTTCCAAGCTTTTAAACCACAGGTACTTTGTTCATTTGGTCTACACATTGCTCATTAGACAAAACTAGGCCTTCATTTGGAACTCGGATGTTAAGGCTGAAACATGTTTCCCTGACTGGTTTAAAGAGGACATATCATGCTTTTAAATCCTTCCCTATCACATTTAAATCATTCAGTTGTCGTCTATATAAAGTGGAACTGCAATGTTTTGTTCTGAGGCCCTGTTTCACGATACTGGTCTCTGGAAATGCTGGTATTCTTTCAAAATTTATTCTGGCAAATAAACAAACAAAAAAAAAAACCCTAAAAAATAAACCTGTCTGTATGGAACCACTGCAGGGTTGCCAGATGAGACATGGCAAACCTTTGTACTGTCCCTTTAAAATGACTGTACTTTGACCCAAAMTTACTGAGTGAAGGTATTGTAGGACAAAAATAACTTTTTGGTTTTATCCGGCATCTAGCAATCTCAGCGTAAATAAACAGATCGCTGTCCTTTAAGGGAGAAAACAATAACAACAAAAAAAAAACAAACACTTCAGATAATTATTTTAAGAGATTTTTTGTTGATTCGCTTATTTCTTATCTTGCTGCTTCATGTTCAAACTTTATATTTTTYGTCAAGGTCATGTGAAACTATGATGATGTGAGGTAAGACCTAAAACTCCACATCACTAGCGCACAACA